ATAACATTGTCGAACCTGAAGAGTACGATCAGCCCGTATTGGCCCGTCTCGTCCTCCTGAGCCGTAATCGACATGACATCCAATTTGTTGTCTAAGTATCGGAGAGCTGTCGGATCCAACTCTTGCCGGAGACTAGTATTTAACACTTCGGCGCCGATATAGTTGTCGTCAAATTCAAACACTTTGCTAATTAAGTGATATGTTTGGGAATCCGACTGTTTTTGTTCAACAAACACAACATATTTGCCCGAATATTGTTCACGATTTGGCACATAAGCGATGGTGGGATCGAATTCATTGAACTCGATGTTTGTCTCAATCACTTTCTGGTACTCTTTGATTTTGTGCTCCCGACCCGAGTGTCCCACTCGTACTCGAAAGTCGATTATGGTTTTGTTGCCCTAAATGTTTAACAATTAATATACACAAAGAATTAGTATTTATAGTGGAAATGTATTTATAATTATAAAATAGTTAACATTAATGAGTCCGAAAATACAGGTTTCGATTTGGTTTCCCGGTCTCCATAAGCCGATGGCCATTGAATAGTGACCGCCGAACCAATGCAACGATCGGCGGCTCTCAGTCCTCCACAGTTTCACTGTCTTCTTGTGGTCATCGATATTATCGTTGAAATCGAGATCCCAATAGTGATTATCAATGAATAGATAGCTATTGGAAACGCTGTGATTGTCTTTGATTTGTCGCAATCCGTAATCGATATTATTATAGTTTTGTGCATAGGATTCGCAAAATTGATTTGTTTCAATGTTTTTGCATAATATTAATAATAACACAACTGTTGGCGTGTTTTTGCAAAATTAAAATATGGTTTAAAATATTTATTTAATTACATGTAAATACCTAAATGTCTCAAATGTGTGTCCGTTCCGTCCATTTATGCAATTAAAAGCCACACTAATAATGAGAAAATTATATTTTTTGAAATGTTTCACACGAGTGTTGATTCAATAAGTCAGTCGATATCTGGCAATTGAATGCAATTATTAATTCATCCATTTGTACACAATTTAGTATAATATCGACACAAATAAAATATTTTTATGAAATGTCTAAAACATAAAAATATAAATTAAACAATTATTACATTTTTCAAAACACAATATAATTTATTGGAAATATCCTAACATAAAATGTGAGCGTTTATAAGGCGTCTATAATGTATTGATTATATAAAATCTATGCACAAAACACATGATATGGTGTTATTTCCTGAAGATATTTGACTTCATTGAAAATAACAGGTTTTGATTGCTTAACATTCAATCATTATATCATTAAAAAGTGTTGAATGTTTTTTGCTATGTATTTGCTCAGCTCGTGTATAAATACAAATAATTACATAGTGTATTTGTAAGGCAGTGCATGGTCATTTTATGACTTCATTTGCTAAATATTTCGCTATTTCTCGTTACAAACTTGTGTTCAAAAATTTTTTAATTTCGTCTATAATTGCAATTCAATGTAGACGTAAATAAGTTATTACTAAATCATTAACTATTTAATTACATGTTTATAAATTCTCTCTCTCTCTCTCTCTCTCT